TTCGACGCAAACGCCTGGGATTAGCACACAAAACAATGAAAGGGAAATAATGGACCCCTAGTATATTTTGCGTTCCAAACGCTTTCTTAATTCTGATAAAACCAGATTTCGTCCTAATGTTCACTATTCCCACTGTGACAGGTTGTACTCATGAAGAAACATTTCAGTAGTTTGTTTAATGCTCTTCGTTGTCAAGCATTCTGTCTAATTTCTCCTCTCTCTTTCTTTCTCTCTCTCTCTCGGTCACGACAGATGAAAAGGCGCTCTAATTATTCCTGGAGGTTGGGAAATAAATGATAGTCTTTGAAGTAGACCCGGGCCTTGGACTACATTAGAAGCCAAGCATGTGATTTGCAACTGTTGAAGTAAAACCCTCTCTCTGCTGCAGGAAGAAGAAAAAAACGGGGGAAATTAGGAGGGTGGATTCTCGGCAAAAGAAAATGGTATCTTTGTTTGCTCTCCTTTGTTTACCAGGGGATTCTTTCTCATTTTTCATCTTTTTTTCTCAATTTTTTACTAATTCATTTCAATGGCTTTCAAACAGGAAAATGGAAATGTTGCTCCTGCCCTCTATTTCGGAGGCAGCGTCCTGGCAACAGAGCAATTTTCTATCATCAGGGATAAACGGCATCGAACAGTACATTCTGATAAAAAAAGAGCCCATGATTGCTGGCCTTCCTGTCTGTCATCTATCGACCAAATCCTCTCCTTCAAGACCGACCACTGTGCTGTCAGACCTAATAATGTCGCGTATTAAGTCGAGAGAGGGAAAAAAGGGAACTATGGTCTTATTTGTCACCAACATAAAATTCAGATCAACTTTTTGGATATAGCTCCTTTGTTAATAGCTTGGAATAGGATCAAAGAGCTCTGCGTTTTAACCAGATATAATAGACATTAACAAGCAGCATTAAGCCCTAATTGATCAATATATTATATTCTGAGAATAACATTAAAAGTGTATTTCAAAACCCGTATTGATTCATTTAACCAGATATTTAAAGACATTGCAGTAATTTCCATTATTAAACGTAACCAATGATACGCTTATTTTCACTATTTCAAAGACAAATTACAACGTATAAAAACAATATGACTGCTAAACGAAACCGGGATTCAATCAGTCAGCTGGCCCTAAATATTCAGTTGAGGAGGCGACAGGAGAAACAAGCAGTCTTAATTAGGACTCGGGCCCTGAGTGGGACCAGTGCGGCTTCAGTCGTGCCAAATTAAATCCATTAGTCTATGAGAGGCTGTGAGGACTCAGTGGTGCAGGCCTTTGCTTATTTGTGGTCATTTAACTCCACTACCAACACGCTACGCTGGGTCCATCTGAAGGCCCTCTCCTGCACCTGGGGCCATGCATATGCCAATTTTGCCATTTACTGGAGAGATAATGCAATCCTAATTTATGATGCAAAACTTATTGTAAACAGTCGTGTGCCCGGGAGCGCATGGTTTCCTTTATGACAAAACCGCACTAATTTTTCTTGGTGTAGTTGCACGCTTTCACAAAAACACATCAAAGCTTTGCATAAGTGGGTTTGCATTAGTGTGCGTAAAAGCGGGCGCGCCACCATTTGGTCACGGATGAATTCTACTGGAGCATTAAAGGCTGATCGGTGATCATTGTTGGCCTGGTGTGTGTCTCAGGGGATGCTCCCTCTAAATCTAGTTACAATGAACCATGTTATACTGACAGCTGTGTGCAGTATGCATCTGCTCTTCTCCCAGCCACTTCCGGCCCTTCACGCGGCAGATATGGAGAGCCGTCGACGCCTGGCTGTCTGTGGCGAACCAGTGGCTTTGCGCTGCGGAGAGGGGAGACATGCTGTTTAAGTGCCTCCCGGTCTCTCTCTGCAGTGACAAGCCTCAGTGTACCCAAACCGCCCGGATCCCAGAGAGCAGCCAAAGGAGGTGGCTTTCCATGCGAGCCAGTCAATAGCTGTTAGAGGGACCGACCGCAAACGCCCAGCCTCTCGCTACAATTATGACCTGCATCTTGCTGGAGCTCTGTGTTAACGCTCAGTTATGATTAACACATGGGGCCAGATAGACCAGAAAAGACGCGAGGAGTTAAAGTCGTCAGTGACAGAGAGGACATAAAAATGGGAAACTAGTTTTATTTATTGTTTTTGTGCTGCTCTCTAGCTATTTAAACGTGCGTAAAGGGCCTTGGATACTGATATCACCAACCTAGGTCCGCCTTTATAATATTTAAACTTACAGTGACTTTGTTAACCATGGAATAACGCCAGGTTACATCTACAAACGCGATGTAAAATATTCTCACGTTTCATGTATGCCGAGTTAGACAGTGGATGTGAGGGAAATCCCAGGCCTGGAGTGATTTTAGAGAGTCATTCATCAGCGTGTGTAAGACAGCTGGAAATAAAGACCACTTCTGTTAAACCAGCATGGCCATTGATTGTGCTGAAGGTCAATCATCTACTTGGGACAAAGTGATGTGTGAAATATATTGAAATATAAAATAATTTCTCTCCAGAATAAGGCTATGAACTCCTAATAGAGCAGAGTACAACAGGGGGGCCTGAAACAGCAGGTGGAGCGTTTGGTGCATAATGTCTCATTTTAGAAATATAAGAACATTTTACACAATTGTTTTTTGAAAGGAAACGAATTGATGGTTTATTAATTCCGTCCACTGATAACATCCAGTAAAGGCCGATTGCATCTTCATGTGTCTTGCAATTAGACACGGTTGTCAGCATGCAACATCTTAAACATTTCAAAAGCACCAAGGTCGAGTATGTCATGTTCTCTCTATTCAAACAAATCCGCCCTTTCAACACTTCCCTTAATCTCAGTGTGTTTAGAAAAGCCTCCCAACACGCCTGCGGGGCACCAAGACTTTGACATTACCTGCGCAGTTATCCCACAATGTAATAATCCCCACGCAGACGATCCTGCAAAACATAAACGCTGAAGAATAAAGATGTCTCAATTTTAATCGAGCCCGGATAGTTTAGCCCACGGGGGAAAGCAACTGACATCACTGCAAAGCATGTATGTCTTTGTAGTAGCACTGAAAGGCGATTAGAAAAGGTACAGGATCTGGTTTCTCCTCTGCGTGTCCAAGTGGAACACGGGCAGGGGAATTGGCCACTATGTTAGATCACTGAGGGGTGACCAAGGTGTGCTGACTCCTGCGAGCTCTGCACGGACATGCTCTGTGCGTAAAATGCAGAATCGTCAGAGGCAATAAAACCATTCATCAGTGTCAGAGAACATAAAAAGAGCATTCAAAGGAAGCTCTTACCTGCAGCCCTCCTGATCAAAAAAAGCACCCCGGTTTTTTAAAATAAAATTGAAATGGATCTTAGGCTAAAAAGCAAGTCCGTCTGGATGTCTTAGGCTCGCTTCCCTGCCTCTGTGCTCCTCTCCTGATCCGCTGCTGTAAAATGATTATCCGGCTGGGTTGTGCACTTTTAAATCCCACAAAGTAAATAACAACCGTAGCTGACGATAATAGCAAGGTACCAAGTTCTTGTTACAGAAAAGGAGAAAATTGAAACTAAACGCTGCATTTAGACAACCATTTTTGATAAGAGGATAATTGAGGCGACACTGGCGTATAATTAGGGGATAATTTATGCTATATCCACTTTTATTCCACCCTCCCAAAATAAATCCAGTCCATAATCATTACAGGCGAATTGTTCTTAATTTTATAGCTGCAATTTGAGCAAAGTGTGGCCGCTAATCAAATAGGTTTTCGTAGTAACTTGATTGCAACCATAATTATTTTTTATCGCCCTTTTTTTTGGTGAAACCGCTGAATGATACATTGCGGCAAAATGTGTGCTGAAAGTGTCGCAAAACATGATTTGAATACCTATAATGTAAGCAGAAATAGCATTTTATTCTTATATGCGGATCGAACATCACAGCCCTCAGAGGCAAACTGTATAATTTACATATATTGAGGACCCTATGAGGCCTCATATTACAACAGGGATAAAAGACACTGTCAGTTTATCACGGTATCCACCCTTCTATGTGCAAAATAACCTATTGTACCTCAGGCATATTGTTATTTGATGTGTCACATGTGCTGTATTTTGAATTGTGTGAAGATCCCTAATCATATGGTCAGTAGCCCAAGGGAAAACGAACAGTTATAATATATGTTACTCTCTGTGGAGAGGGGGGCTTAAAGAGGGACTGCTCATTAGGCGACATCCAGGAAAAATACTGCACTGCAAAGAAAACAAGATATTTAACAAGCATTTATTTTTTTAATTTAAAAGTTCTTATTTGTAAACTAAAAAAGTAGGTTGTTTGCTACTTTTCCTTATTTTTACGGCTATTACACCTGTTTCAGTAGTTTCCCTGACATAAACCAGACCACTTCTCTAGTATAAATAAATAAAGTGTGTTTAAAATAAAACTTTACATGTGAATTAAATACGATGGGATTTTTTCCCACTCATTTATGAATGTTTATAAATGAGATTAAAACAAATATCTAATACGTTTTAACGATAGATGACTTGTGAAGGGGGGTATATTCGTTGTATGCATCTTGTATATCATTTATTGCCGTTTGGCATACAAAATAATTTAGAATTTAATATTGTTCAAAAGTATGTTTGTAAGATTCTTTACTATAATTTATTAATTTCTAGAGAGGAGGAGTTAAGAGGCACATATGTGTTGGCTCGTCAGGCTAAATCAAAGTGCGCGCTCTATGTTGAGCGTCGTGCGTAATTTGGGGGTTTGGGTAAAAAACAAAATCGACTCGACAATTGCGAAAGAGCTGGTTTTACGTGTGAAGCTTGTCTGTAGGAATTATGCGTCTTTCCCACCGTATATCATTTCCCCCATAGTTGTGGTGGGAGCTGGTAAGGTGGGTTAACTCCAGCTCAAGTCTCCGTGAAGCGCAGAGCACTGATGACGTTGGGTTGGATGACCAATCGGGAGGCGCTGCCCTTTGGAGACAAACCATTTTACTTGTAGTGTCTGCATCAAGTCTGCAAGCAAGGGCTCAATTTTAACAGAATCCACCTTAAAATCTCTCCCTTAACTTATACCTTCCGCCACTTTGAGTGAGAATATCACACGACAAGGGGGGAAATAAAGACGCCTCTGGAAAATTCGGGTGTTAATAGGACAATATATGTTCGCGGTGGAGAGGGGAGAGAGACAACAGCACAGCGAGAGAGAGAAAACCGATTTGGTCTTGAGAGAGAGGGGGGTGAGTGCTCTCAAGGCAGAAAATTCGATGATGACCATGACTACGATGGCTGACGGTCTGGAGGCTCAGGACTCGTCCAAGTCTGCTTTCATGGAGTTTGGGCAGCAGTCGCACTCACAGCAGAGCTCCCCGTCGATGGCCAGCGGCCACTACCCGCTGCACTGTCTCCACTCCGGCTCACACGCGCACCACCAGCACGACAACACCGCGTACACCGGGACCAACACCTACAACCGGTCGTTACCCTACCCCTACGTGAGCCATCCGCACCACAGCCCGTACCTGCCATCCTATCACAACAACACGGGAGGACAGACAAGGTTAGACGGCACAGGTAAGAGACCCCCTTTTCAGCCAAGTGGAAAATGTCCATCCCCGGTCACCGACAGTATTAAGTGCATTTTTAGTACCCACAATGGGGATCTAACCTTTCTCCCTGCTCGTGTTGGTGTCATGCCCAAGTCACGGCCACTCCAAACTCGGATCTTTCAAGCGTAGGTGTGCTACTACAACGAAGAAAAAATGTGCGTAAACGGCACCGGATAATGCGAGAAGCAGCCTGTTATACCTTCTCTCTCTGTTTAGTTTTCCCGTTTAGCACTCCCCTCAAAACCAGTTGTAATGCCCGGGGTGTGATCATCACGACCGTGCAATCCTCACCAACTACTCGTGAAAATTAGGCAGCCCGCACGCCTTGAATGTTGTAATTAGCATTTAATTGACATGTCATTACCAGCAATATCCTAAATATGACAGCGTATGAGGATTGTGGCTGCCACGGCGCTTAAAGGCAATGTGAGATGTCAGCGTTTATCGGCAGGAATTTTTATTTTTGGACAGTTTCAGAAGGCGTCTCTGAATTTATCTTCACGCAATATTTCTGCTGTTTGGACACGTTTGTATTTTCCTCTTCTGAAAAAATGCAGGCTGTGGTTTTGAATATTAACATTGGTTGTTTTTGTTGCAGAGCAGAAAACGACGGTGATTGAAAACGGGGAGATTCGTTTTAATGGGAAAGGAAAGAAGATTCGCAAACCTCGGACAATTTATTCCAGTTTGCAGCTTCAAGCACTGAACCACCGTTTCCAGCAAACACAGTACCTCGCTTTACCGGAGCGCGCCGAGCTGGCTGCTTCTCTAGGACTGACACAAACACAGGTGAGGAGGAATTGACCCTCTGGATTTTAACATTAACACATGCAAACCATCATGAATAAAAACTACAATATATATCATAATTATTTCTAATTATTTGGTTGTTTTTGTAGCGATATTTTGAGAATTAATCCTAAATGTAATCATGCATTTTGCAGGAACATTCTCACAACTCAACTATTTATCCTCCACTAATTACCCTCGCCCTTCTCTCCTGCAGGTTAAGATCTGGTTCCAGAATAAGAGGTCAAAGTTCAAGAAGCTGCTCAAGGCGGGCATCAACCCGCACGAGAACGACCCTATGCCGGCCTCCATGTCCCTCTCCCCGCGCTCCCCGACCATCCCTCCGATATGGGACGTGTCTGCCTCTTCCAAAGGAGTAAACATGCCGGCCAACAGCTATATGCCCGGCTACTCTCACTGGTATTCCTCCCCACACCAAGATTCAATGCAGAGATAGACTGAGGAGGAAGGAAGGTCAGTGAGCTGTCTGGAGGCCTCCGGATCTCCGCCATGCAGTTTCCAACGTAGCCTACAATTTGTGTCAGCGCAGAGCTGGAGAGGAAGAAAACCCCCTCTGCTGCTCCTCTGCCGAAGGATGAAAACGCAGCCATGCCTCGGTGTGATGACACAAAGGGAACTAACCATTTTAACGTATGGCTGTGCAGTGGGACTCGCATATTTGTTATGCTTTCATTCATGTCAACATCTGACCGTCAATATACCAAATATTATCAGTGACATTTTAGCCATTTTGGGCAAAGACTGCTTACACTCTCCATGTGCACTGGCGCCCAGAGCCTGTCGCCATGGTGGACTCCTGACTGCTTTTTTTTTGTTGTTTCTCCAACATGCAAAATCAAGCAAATTGTCTGTCTGTAAATATACTCTGCGATTTTAGTTGTACATACTCTTTTTATGTTTTGTCAGATTGAGTAAACCGTGACTCAAAACAGATGCCTGCTGTTGCATGATTTCACAAATTCATTTTAAACTAGGCCTTTTTATGCTTCATATTGGGCCAACATCACATTCTACCAGGCCCACTTCCCGTTTCCCTGGTACGAGTTTCTAACATACAAAAAGATTCAAGAACATAAGGTAATGACACAGTGCTCAGTGAAAAGCCCATTTCATCAGAGTAAACGATTTAAATAAATCCAAAGCGCTTAATGGCAGCTGAATAACGCCACAGTATGAATGATCAAATGCTCCGGAGGAAATGAACTTACCCTTCCCCGCTGCTGTCTACATTCACCTCGAAACTCCAGGTCCAGCTTATCTTGTAATTTCACCCCCAATTATTAGAAGTATTGACAAAATGTTTTCTCCCTTCTCTCCGTCCTAATGCAGGCCGTTAAATGCCAAGCTCCACGGGATCGATGTTGAACAAAGCAGCCAGCTGCAGCGGCGTTCAATATGAAGGAGATATTTGGGACAATTTGTGGGTTTTTATCCAAGTGAGGCTTTTTTTCCATTCTCATAAATGCAGGCATAATTAGGGTAATTTTTGATGTAGCCCGCTGATTACAGCGTTTTTACCGTCAAAGATAATTACCTGTAATTTTCTACCACTTTTAATACTAAAAGGCATCTTTATTTGGATTTGAGGTAGCACAGATGGAACAAAGGGGGAAATTATTCGGTTGTTCACATACAAATTGCTGAGAAGAGTGAGCGCTCGGGATATTATCTGAAATTACAAGCTGAAAAGCTTCATGCAGCTGTCAAGTCGCGGATGTCCCACTGGTGCACATTCAGCCGATATACCTGGGCCCCCAGCCTGCAGGGGCCTATCTGCTCAGGGGCCATGAACACCCTGATCTGCAGGCTGCAGGGAGCCCGGAGCAGAAGTCGAGTAAACATCAACAAAGCTCATAAATACACAGTTGGGTTATTCAGCTCCAAAGACTGACACGTTTCATCTTGTTTTGCAAATGAAAAAAAAAATGCTTTGATTAGATAAATCAGATGAAAATGATTAGACAGATAGATAGATGGATGAGATAAATCAGATAAAAATGATTAGACAGATAGATAGATGGATGAGATAAATCAGATAAAAATGATTAGATAGATAGATAAATCAGATAAAAATGATTAGATAGATAGATATGGATAGAGAGATAGAGAGAGAGATAGATAGATAGATAGATAGATAGATAGAGATAGATAGATAGAAGTGCAGCAGAGTGACAGACATGGGGTGGGGGGTGCAGGGAGGGATGTGTCAATTCTTGCTCTGTGCGCTATATCAGCAGTAAAGCATGCAGCAGGCTTCACATAGCCTATAAAAGCTCCTACAACACCTGACAAGATCTCACCACAGTAACTGTACGGCTCAACAGCGCCGGAACAACCTCCATAAACACAGACACAATCCAAATGGTATCTCAAGTAAATACAATTGCAAATAAGATATGAGGAAAACGCTAAATTTGGCAGGAAACAACATGATTAAGCTGAGGAGTAACATGCAATGTCACAGCCTCCTCAAATATAAGCAATAGTCACAGCAGAGGAGATATAAGACTCATCCTTACCTTTCTCCGCGTGTCTAACATAGATAACCAAAACAGGTCTGCACGGTTTTACTGCTGGTGGTTGAATAAGCAAATCCAGGTGGGAAAGTGTTTGCACACCCCGGTAAGCTCTTATATATTGCCTGCAAAATTAGCTGTTATTACTGTCACTGTTTAGTGATGGCGAGCTTGGGAAAAAAAAAGCCCTCTGCAATCAAGAACCAAGCGCATCTTTGCAAATTATAGGTAATTGTCAATGTCCAGATTATGATAATGGAGGCCCTAATCCTGGAGAATAATTATTGTGGAGTGTTACAGTTGAAGCTGTCCAGTAAAACTAACTGTCATTATTTAGACTCGATTTGCAAAACGGGGGGAAACTAGCTGAGTGGAAAATGTTCGGTTGGAAATAAACGGGGGCTCTCGATATAATGGCACCACTAGTGTGTGTATGTGTGTGAGAGAGAGTTTGATGGTGGAGGACATACAGTATAGTGTGTGTGTGTTTGTGTTTGTGTGTGATATAAAGGCCTATGTGTGCATCTGTGCGCGCACCTGAGTGTTCTTGACATCATGCACGTGCATTGTGAAAAAAACGACATTTCGGGAGTGACCTGCTCGCATTGTAATTACAGGACTACCGTTTAGTCTACAGCAGAAATTAGGCTGTAAACAACAACAACATGCACGGTGCATGGCGTTGTAGATTAAGAAGAGTTGTTTCAGTTTGCTCCTGTGTGCGCGTGCGCGCGCGCGCGTGTGTGTGTGTGTGTGTGTGTGTGTGTGTGTGTGTGTGTGTGTGTGTGTGTGTGTGTGTGTGTGTGAGAGAGAGAGAGAGAGTAAAGTGTGTTAGACTGCAATCAGGAAGAGGATTCTGTGTCAGGTGGAAATGGTAACATGCATGGGTCAGTGTGTGGGTCAGATGCAGTGTTGTTTACTGTGTGTGTGTGTGTGTGTGTGTGTGTGTGTGTGTGTGTGTGTGTGTGTGTGTGTGTGTGTGTGTGTGTGTGTGAGAGAGAGAGAGAGGGGGGGGGGGGGGGGGGGGGTACATGGTAGTTTGTAACATCGCACTTGTATGATCGTTTTGCATATGGCCGTGCAAATTCAATTAGATCAATTTTCAGATCCCCAATGTTTCCCACAGTGCCACTGGTTTGTTTAGTGGTTTTTGCGCTGGTATTACTGGCTGCTAATAACATGGTGAAATTGTGGAGGATTTTCCTTTTCTTCTCTTTTTTATTTCACCCGGAAGGTGGGCTGCGGCCGGGAGTGGCAGAGCTCTGGAGCCGGTCTACCCCCACAGGAATGCGGATTGTCTCAGATCTCCGTGCCGCCCCCCTCGCCTCCTCTCTGCCATTCAAAGCGGCTAATTGTAGGGGACACAAAGCGAGAGCGACTGCAGACTGTCTGCTGCGAGGAGCAGGCATTTTCTTTACAGACGAACAGGAACCGACTGAAAGGCTCAATCAGGCTCCCCACTAAAAAACAATACGAGTGATAAAAGGTGATAATTCTGGTGTTGATCAGAGGCAGTAGTGAAAATAATAGTATTAATAATAGTAATAATAATAATACCATTTGGGGCGAAATACTGTGGGATTATTGTAACAATGAGTTAATTTAAAATGTGAATTTTATAATAATAATAACACTATTGGGGTATGATGCCTATCATAAACATAAATCAGATTGTATACAAATACAATCAAGGAAAAGAGCCACTTCTAAGAACAAAACTTCACAAACACTATAAAATATTTGAGGATTATAATAATGATATTTAGCAAGATTATTACAGGAATATTATAGGAAATAGAAATCAATCCAGTTCAAGAAACACCGGTATTGAATGAAGGTATTGTAATTATTCCGCATGGTTAAAGGCTTGCAGTTTCCATGCTTTCTCAGAAATGTATTTACATTTTTACCTAATGTTAAATAAAGTCATGCATTTTACTAATTGTTTTTATTCCACATCATTGCAAATGCAGATTAAAATGAACCTGGTCTGAGGGAAAATCAAGGCACATTCCTCACGAAAAGGCAGATGTTTTTCATCCCATCTTCAGGACAATTGTTAATTCTGTCTGCGTAATATTTAATACAAATCATGGCAGAATAAATATAAATTGTAGTTGTTCAAGCGGATAACAAATACGAATGTCGACGTTTTCTATATTCATCTCAATACGGAGCAGCTGTGATTTACAACCTTGTGTGGAAATGTCACCTGAGGCTCACAAACATTATTTATGTGTGTGAGTCTTCGTCGTGATTTTCAGTGTAAATAATAGAAGGTTAAATAACAAGAGACTGCAGTGAGGCCGGAGAATTCAAAGTTCCATTGTCCATTTAAACGTTTAATAGTCTTCCAAAATGCAATAAATTACATGCACACATTTACACATTTTACACGTTTCTTCTATGACTGTCATCAAATACATTGCATATGCCTCTGAAATTTGAACACGAGTCCCATAGAAGGATAAAAAAAAAGATTTGAAATGAACAACAGGGTTTTTTCAATATAACGTCCCTGCTCCAAGAGCCAACGAGTGCTGTATCGAGTTGGGGGTCTGCAGGTGGGCGGCCATGGAGCTGCCGGCTGAGGTGTACCATGAGCCCGAGCTTTCCAAAAAGTTAGAAGCCGTGGTGTTGATGCTTTGTGGCTGCAGGCTGTGCGGCCTGGAGGGGCCCTGTGTGTCCCAAACGGCCGGGGACTGTGGAGAGTTGCACACCATGGGGTCGCTGGAGCTGGGGCTGTGGTCAGGTGGAAGCTCTCCGCTTTTCATGATCTTCTTCAGTTTTGATCTCCTGTTCTGGAACCAGATTTTTACCTGGAAGAGGAAAAAACAGCAGCATTAATATCTCATAACAACAGGAACAGTAGATTCAGAGGAGAAGCGGTGCGTAAAGGCGCACAGAAATAACGCACCAAAACGGTCATTATTATTTATTTAAACGAAGGGGCATTAAAAACATTTCAAGCAATGAAAAATGTCTAACACAAATGTTGATTTAAATCTCACCTGTGTTTGCGTGAGTCCCAGCCCGGCGGCCAGCTCGGCTCTCTCCGGCAGCGCCAGATACTGCGTGCCCTGAAAGCGCCTCGACAGTGCGGCGAGCTGGAAACTGGAGTAGATAGTCCGGGGTTTCCTCACTTTCTTCGGCTTGCCGTTCACCATCCTCACTTCGGGCTCGCTGATCTCTTTTTCTGTTAAAAATAATGACAGCAAGAATAAGCACGTTTGCATGTAACATTTGCATTGTATTTAAAATATTATTCTGGGTGTTGTCGCCTATATTATCTCGTGAATTCAAAGAAAATCCAATTTCATAAATGCATTCTAGGCTGGCAAAAAACAATAGCCATGTATTTCCTTTATATTTTAAAATCACATCTTTAAAACAGATGTATTCTTTAGAAAACACAACGAAATACAAAGTACTCTTTATTTATTCCTTCAGCTTTGTATTGCACTTTTTATAATGCAAAAGGAAAATACTAGAAACACATTTTTCAATACGCTTATTCGGTATGACTGGACTAATTATCTGGTCTTTATTTATTATTATAATGGAGAAATGTGCGGGCCTTACCTTGCGGACTCGGCTGGGCTTGCACTCTGCTGTAAGTCCCCGCGTACTGGTGGTAGGCGGGGGTCGTGTACGAGCTGTAATCAGTGTAGGATTTTGTCGAGTAATTTCCAGCGGATCCGTTTACACCCGGGTACTGGTACTGGTAGGCATTGAGAGGCTTCCCGTACGAGGTGGAGCTGGGCGAGCAGTAGCCGTGAGGGACTCCAGCGGTGGGACTGTAGTAGCCAGAATCCGTGGCGGTGGACTCGGGTAAAGTAGGAGATTCCTGAGACGGATGGTGCATGGTGGAAATCTGAAAGGAGCTCTGGAAATCTGCAGTTTTCACACTCGGGATCCTTCGGTCAAATACTCCAGTCATACTTCGAGAGGGAAAGCGTGTGTGTTTTCTTTGATTAGCAACAAAAAAAAGCGAGGCAGTCTGACTCCAAAGTGCTGTGAAAACTACACTGGCATTGTTGAAAGGCTCTCGGGCCGTCGGGCTCTGGTGAAGACTGCAGCCAGCCCCGCAGCAAAGACTTGGTTAAATCCTAAATCGCGCTCTTACGCACTGCAGGGAGGATCTGGTTCCATTGGCCAAGGCGCACACAGACACAGCTACACCCAATTCACTCAGCCAGCTTTCTTATAGGGGGGAAACCACCAGGGCTATGAGGCTGCATTGTTATGTTTTTTATACTATCAATCAATGAGAGCGATTAAAGTGTTGGCCGTGTCATCAATCCACGTTTTCACGAGGATGAATTAGAGAGACTAAACCTCATAAAGGCCTTCTGATTATTACTATAGTATTTATTATTCTTTAATTATGCATTTTCAGAATCACATTATTATAATTTTACAACAAAATCTCCCCAAAATGACAAGAGCATCAAATCATCTCGTAGTAAATTGAAATAACAATAAATACATAATACTATAACTTATTAATTTAGCAAATTCGTTATATTTTGGGCCTTACCATTCCTGAAAACATAGTCTTAGATCTAACAGTGTTAAATGTTCAACAATTTATCAGTGGATCAAATATATTTAGTGCTATATAAAATATATATAAATATATATTCTACACCTAACACTCGTTACATTCTTATGAGCAGTTTTTCCAAATCAAGCAAATTGCTCTTTGATTGGTGTTTTCGATAATGCCAAAATTGACCAACTAACCCGAACTGCATCATTAAAGATTAATCGGATATTATCTCATCTTAAAACCTGCAGCAGAGAATGCAAAATCAACGCTCTGCACATTCAGTGGTGAACAGCGCCGACCAGTGGGCTAACTGAGGAACTGCATTTCACTCACAGCCGAGTGGCAAACCAAGACACATTATTTACCAAGAAAATTGATGAGGAAGTTGATCTTAATGTTCAAGGGCTTTGTTGTCATATATACAGAGCTACAGTGTAGATATGGCAAAGACAATCCTAAATCCCAAGCTCCTCCAACAATGCAACATAATATATAGGACATAAAACAATAAAAGACCTTTAAAAATTTAAATTAAATAATAAATCTCACCTTAGACAAAATTGAAGGGTAACATTCTTCACGTCTTAATGAAAAAAATATATAATTCTTTAACAAGATTATTTGAAATGTATATATATGTTCTGTGCAATGCAATTATTCAAAACGTGATATTTAAAAAATAAAATAAAATAAAATAAAATATGAACTTTTCAAAAGATGAACTAATACAAATAAACCAATTTGTCCTAAAGGCTTTAAGGCAACACGTGTGAGGTTAAAAATCATCAGAGGTGGGAAGTATTCAGATGTTGTACTTGAGTAAAACTAGAAGTACCAGAATGTAGCAATACTATGTTAAAAGTAAAAGTCCTCTGTTCAAAATGCTACTCAAGTAGAAAAAGTACAAAAGTATTAGCATCAAAATATACTTAAAGTACAAAAAGTAAGGGCCTCATGACCAAATTTAGCGAAATTTGAACAGGGGCAGCACTGAGTAAAGTACAAGTATCTCAAAATTGTACAGTACTTGAGTAAATCTACTGAGTTACTTCCCACCTCCAAAAATCATCATAACAATACACATTGTATTACATATTAAATTGTTTCCAGAATCATACATACATTGAAGCTACACCGTGTAAGTGCATAGGAAGAGGCCTGAGAAAACCGTCCAGTCGATAAAACTCTTCTATAAGTAATTATTGCCAATACAAATAAGACCTAACTACTTATAAATAGCTTTTGTAATACTTAATTATTTTTGCAAGAAAACATTGTTTTTTAAGTTGTATCAAGAATTAAAAGCGTACCTGCGTTCTTCACTCTCTATTTCACCTCGAGCCAAATGCATTTATTTATAGTATAATTAAACAGTAATAAGGGGAAACCTGCCATAACAGTTTTTACCGCTTAATCCGAGAAGTAATGCCAATAAACAAATGTAACTTGTTGATCCTTCTGTAGATGATGCAATGCTTTCAACGTCAATAACTGAACTGGTAAACAGAGGCAGGTGTGCAGCGATGGTTTAAATACTTTCAAATTAGATTACCTGATTTTGGTAACCCGGAAACACTCCCCCCTTCAAAGCCACATCCGGTATGGAAACGTTTGATCTATACGGTGCTGGTTTTTACTAACTATGGTTACATACATGGTGTTTTTTAAACCAGAAAGTATTTTAAGGTCATTGATACAAGACAATGCTTATACAATTTTTTCAAGAAAACTACCGTTGCTGGTTATTTAATTCATCTTCGGGTTAGACAGAGAGCGCGCAGTTTGCGTCTGACGTCATTGTATACTTCAGCTAACAAGATAGTTCCCCTCCTATTCACATCTTATTTAACCGTTGTTGCCAAATTAAAGCGTTTCACGCGTGTGTAAAACGTCTAAAATAAACACTGGTTAAAAGTTTAATACTTGAATGTATTTTGTCATTTTATCTACACTGGAAATAACTTGTTAAAAAACAGTGCATACTGGGCATATCATATATTTCATTTACAGAGGTTTGAAGCTATAGCAGGTGTCACAGATTATAGCTTTACAACAATCAATATTATTGTGCTTTGTCGTAAAATACATAATTTGTTGTATAAAACTATACAACAAAAATAAATGGTGTAAAGGCTTTTGGCTGCTTAACGGAAATTAACCAAAGCCGGAAGTAGAAGGGAGGGAGTCCTCTTGCGCTGCATGTGTGTTCTCGGTGCTATCTTTTCTCTCAGCTCCCGTTTTGTGTGTGTTGGGGGGATGGGGCCGTGTCGAGGATGAGAGACTCAAAATATTTACCACTCGGCTAACTAAATATCTTTTTTTCTGAACTGGGCTTCCTCCTTCGGTCTTGTACATATATATACTTTTCGATCCCGCATGAGTTTGGGCGGAATTTGTCCTAAATAAAGTGGAGTATCTGTACGTCCACGACACACGCTTAAAAAGTCGACAAAATGTATTCCTCTACTGGAGGTAAGTGGTGCGGCTATCGTTAGCACCGGCTAAGTGATGCAGCTAGCGGCATTAACACGCTACTGGACGCTTTTAGCTGCTATGTTTACATTGATAGCACACATAATATTGTTTCCTAAAGCTAATTAGTTATAATAAAAACAACATATGCTTTTTAAAAGAATATGTCGCCCAGTCTTAAGTGAAGGCATTAGTAGCTTAGCTAGCGTGCAACAACAAGAAGCTCCTGTTAGCCACGTTAGCTTCAGCGGTGCCTCGTTTTCCCAACTTGTGGTTAGTTAGCTTCCCAATGTTATATCACGAAGTGTGATCGTGTAGCGTATATCTACTTAATACAGTATATATACTGATAGGAAATGGCTTTTATTTTTTACAAGTATCTTGCAGTTTTCCACTAAAGCACATAAGTAAAGCATTATTTAGCGGCCGACCATGCTATCTAATCTCATCAACAATCTTAGCTATGGTTAGCTAACAGTATCCAACTTCGATTTGGTAATTCCAGTCATGTTGCATCGTTTTTAACCACGATATTAAACAACAAATTGGTCTGTCTAATAAACTCAATACTCAAGATAGACTCAATGACATTGGTTATATAAAGAGTAGACGAGAAAGTAGACATGTGAAGTTTGGCCGAGGCTAGTTATAGTAACATTGTAGCAGTTGACACCCTTGGCAATGAGACTAATAATGTTAAAATAAGAGATAATAGCAATTTAATTTTCATGCCATTTGCATGTTATCCAGAGGATCAAGCAGCAAAAACAATTGCATCACTAAAATGTACGTTCTCTTCAATTTTATATTGTTTTAGGGGTCTTTGGTTGCTTTATATTACTAAAATATGAATATGCGTGTAGGATAAGGGTCTTTTTAGGAGAAAGGGAGGCTTCTGCAGAGTTGGATAGCCAGCTTGCTTAATGCCTTCTGTGTGCATATTGATAACAGTTTAGAGAAAGTCGCCCTTGATTGTGGACGACGGTGTTGTGAAAGAGATAAGAGGGCTAGACATGCTGTAATTAAGCAAGTGTATACAATGGAAGTATAGATGAGTGTTAATGCTGCCTCTTGTCACTTGCTCCATAAAGAAATGGGTCAATATAATTTGACAGTAAACTTATTTCTGTCATGCATTACCTAAATGTATATTTCTACAACTCTTCCTAACACCTTATTTTGTCCTCTGTAGCCACCGAGATGCAGGAGGCACCCCCCCGTTCCTCCGGGTCAACAGGCTCTGGTAAGCTTTTTCCCATATTTGATCTTCCAAGCCTTAAACAGGTCCCAGAATGGGTCCAGTTTAAGTGGAAACATCATGCCTTTTACACCATTCAAGCAGCCCAGTATATTTATTTGAATTACAATTTGACTTTCTGACTGAATACAAAGACATTTTCAAGAAATTGGACACCAAATTTGGCATTGATGAAGGCGTCGACGTTGTAGATATTCAATTTCCTCTCAATGCACCTCATTTCCGTGCTCTGAGTAGCAGTGCACTTTTACACACTAAAGGTTTAAATTATAGCCACCGTATGTTACAAGGTTATTTGGGTGTTATTCTGTTTGATTGGACGGACTGGGTCACAAAGATAAGGCACTGAGGGGCATTCAGGGGGAGCCCTGCCAGTCTCACTGTAATATCTGAAGTTGCAGATATGGAGCTTATTGGTTTGGCCTGTCTATCAAAGATGAAGGCTTAGTGTATCTTCTACAGGGTAATACACACAAATGGATGACACCATATTTATTTTATTCACAACTCAGATGGAATAACTTCTGCCTATCAAATTCTGAACAAAGATCTCCCTTCTTTTTGAAAAAAACAAAAACATTGGACCTTTTGAGTTTGCCTCATCACATATTTGATGACCTATAACTGTAGTTCAAGACATTTCCTGTTAACCAGTTAAAGAAAACTTGTAATCTCTGTTTTGATGTAGAATGAACAATTTCTGACTTTTTCTGATGCTGTGAAATGTTTAACAAATGTTTTGAAAACAATTGTTTGCATAATGAGTTATTTGAGAAACTGTGACATTAACTTTCTAGTCATTCTCTATCTATTTATGGGGTCACAACATACTAACTGGTACATTTCTGATGCCTGTGTAATGCGGTACTTACTTTGCAATTGCCACTTTCCCACTTTTGACCCCCCTGATTTAGACCCGCCATCCTCCCCAGTGCCAGAATATGTGTTCAAGCCACCATCTCGGCCAGACTTTGGCACCATGGGCAGGACCATCAAGCTCCAAGCCAACTTCTTCGAGATGGAAATCCCCAAACTGGAGGTTTACCATTATGACATCGACATTAAGCCTGAGAAATGCCCCAGGAGGGTCAACCGGTAGGTCTATTTGTACATGTGTATATTTCATCTGCTGCTCCTGGCACGTGGTAGACAATTTTTTTTAAATGTTATTTGTTTGTTTTATTTTGTCCTCAGTGAAATTGTGGAGCACATGGTCCAGCACTTTAAAACGCAGATCTTTGGTGATCGTAAGCCGGTGTACGACGGGAGGAAGAATCTGTACACTGCCATGCCTTTGCCCATAGGCAGAGACAAAGTATGTACCTGTTATGGACAACATGCAACAATAACATCTCCACTTTTGGAAAATTGCTTTATTTTCTTGCCCATTCACCACACAGGTGGAGCTTGAGGTTACCATTCCTGGTGAAGGCAAAGACCGCAGCTTCAAAGTTTCCATCAAGTGGGTCTCCTGCGTGAGCCTGCAGGCGCTGCACGAGGCTCTGGCCGGGCGGCTACCCAGCGTCCCCTTCGAGACCGTCCAAGCCTTGGATGTGGTCATGAGACATTTACCCTCTATGAGGTGAGTTTTTTTAAATGATTCAACGTGGCTTCATTTGTGGATGATTGTCCCTATAGAAGTTTTTGGCATATTTGTCATACATTTAAAATACATAGTGAGCCTTATGCCTGTTTTATGACCTATTTCACTTTTCTTTCATCAATTGTTTCTCAGAACATGTTAACCAGGCTTATCATCTCCTCTGTTACAGGTACACCCCTGTGGGCCGCTCTTTCTTCACCCCCTCAGAGGGATGTTCGAACCCCCTCGGTGGAGGCAGAGAGGTGTGGTTCGGCTTCCACCAGTCTGTCAGGCCTTCCCTTTGGAAAATGATGCTCAACATCGACGGTAACTTTCCTTTTTGATTGTGCACTTGTTGAATGAAGTTAAGATCTTTCTATGAATCTCACCTCTGTGTGCTTGTTTTGTTTTCAGTTTCTGCCACTGCATTCTACAAAGCCCAGCCTGTAATTGAGTTCATGTGTGAGGTCCTGGATTTCAAAAGCATTGAAGAACAACAGAAGCCCTTAACAGACTCCCAACGAGTGAAATTTACAAAGGAAATCAAAGGTGAGAAAATCTCCAAAGCTCACATTGTTGTGGCTATTAAAGTTTTTCTTTCTCAATCTTTAAGTTTGTTTTTAAATTCGGTTCAATGTGATTTCCAGGCCTGAAGGTGGAGATCACTCACTGTGGGCAGATGAAGAGGAAGTACAGAGTGTGCAACGTGACCAGAAGACCAGCCAGCCACCAAACGTAAGAGAGCTCTTCTATCTCATCTTTGTTCACATTAAATCATTAAAATATATATGATAGTAACAGTTCTGTCAGTGCTACTGTATATATTTCAAACATGCTGAGTGTTTAATTAGCTATTAACCCGGTCTTTGCTCACTGGGCTCCATTAGTGCAATCGACTGATCAGTCTAGAAGATTTTATTGGCTTTTTTTGTTATTGCCCACGTGATTTGCTGTGTTTTACCTAATTTTCTGTTGTGTTCTTCCCTCAGGTTCCCCCTGCAGCAGGAAAATGGCCAAACTATTGAATGCACAGTAGCACAGTACTTCAAAGACAAGTACAAGCTCATCCTGAGATACCCCCACCTCCCGTGTCTTCAGGTGGGACAGGAGCAGAAGCACACCTACCTACCTCTAGAGGTGAGCACCACTAAACTCCTTAACTTACTAACTTTACCCGCTTGCTGTGGATGTTCCCCTTTTTTTAATCCTGTCATGTTTTATGTGGGTCCTCTCCAGGTGTGTAACATAGTGGCAGGACAGCGCTGCATCAAAAAGCTGACAGACAATCAGACCTCCACTATGATTCGTGCCACAGCCCGATCGGCCCCAGACCGTCAGGACGAGATCAGTAAATTGGTACGTCATTTTCCTCTAAGTGTCACGTACACAATATTCCAATAATAAGTCCAAACTCAGGAGAAAATAATTTAAATTGGTAGCAGCCAAAGAGAAGACCAAAAATCATTGTGTTTTTAATATTTTTCAAGATTCAGCAGCTGCGTGGCCTGTTTCTTGTACTATTTTCAAAAATAGGCCTAGGTGAGATAAGGGAAAGTTGCTGCATATGTTGCCAAGTTTTTAGCAACGACTCAGAGGTGTTTGCTGATTGGCTACTGTAGTAGAAAGCTCATTCTATAGTACCATAGTTTTGAGTCATAATAGTTATGTACATTAGATATCTTCTGCATTAGATTGATAGCAACATTGCCCACAGAGCCACATTGAGTATTATGCTTAGAGAATTGGGCTTATTGGAAATGAGAATAAACAATATTTGTGAATGTTTTTGAAAAATGATTGAAATGTCTTTGAGACACTTTGAACCTGTAGTGTCAAACTTAGCTTAACTTTTATGAAATACTGAAGCCAGTCATCTTTTTAATTATCTGGCTTGTTGTTGTTTTTCTTCAGATGAGGAGTGCCAACTTCAACAACGACCCTTACGTTCGTGAGTTTGGAGTGATGGTGAGGGACGAGATGACAGAAGTGAACGGCCGTGTCCTCCAAGCACCTTCCATTCTGTACGGAGGCAGGGTATGTCGATCTCCTGTTTGATGTGTTACGTCATATGTGTAATTGGAATGTTTTTCTGTACAGTGACTAGCACTATAATAATAAGGCTAGTGTCATTCCAATGTTCAGAACAAAGCAATAGCCACACCGATCCAGGGAGTCTGGGACATGAGGAACAAGCAGTTCCACACCGGCATCGAGATCAAAGTGTGGGCCATCGCCTGCTTCGCCCCTCAGAGACAGTGCACTGAACTCCTGCTCAAGTAAGTGAGACTTTCATGGCTTGATAAGAGTGAATGCATAATGTAAGGCACCTTTTTATAATAGGAATGGACAAACGAGGATACATTGAGCCATGAGCTGTAGTTTCAGACGTTGCAGTCGGAGCAGAGAAACGACACACAGCTGTCTTCTCTGATTTGTGTCTCATTTGGGTCTTACACAACTGGTATGACAGCGCAGTTTAGAGTCTTTCGCTGTATGGCCCCCTGAGGACCAAAGTATTTCAGCTCTACAGGGGCGTAACCGAGCATGATTATGTACAGCTGTGCCATTCTTTTACAATGCCTTTGCCAATTTAATTTGTGGACTTATACAGGGTGAGTTCAGGCGTTATGTCAGTGTTGATGCAGATGTTTGAATGTGCACAACCTAAAGGTCCTATTGCAGGGCTATTCAATTAGTTTGGAATGGGGGCCGGTTGGTGAAAATGTTCCAAAGCAAGGGGCCGGGAAAAAGATGGCTTGAAATATGAGCAATCATATTAAGAGCTTCAGATACAGTAAATACTACAACAGCATAGTGGAGTGCATATATTGTGTTTAATTCAATCAAACAACATAGCCCCAAGGCCTTTATAGATCTAAATGGCAAGTTCAGAACTCAGTAGGCCTACATGTGAAGCTAATTTAACCATCAACATCATTTCATTTGATTTAATTTAGGTGAAATGATCTAATCATTCACGCAGAGATGCAATAAATGACAGGAGTTGTCACTACAGTAGCTAGTAGGTGGGTTCGAAACCCGAGCCCGCAGACGTTTTCAGGCAATGTCTTCCCCTCTATCTCTCAATTGAACACCCTCTCTGGAATAAAGGCACTCTGGCCCTAAAATAAAAATAAAAATACAAATGTGATTACTTTTTAACATTATACTCAAAGGGCAAATATCACCCCGGGGCCGGATTTGGCCCGCGGGCCGCCAATTGAATAGCCCTGTCCTATTGTATCTGGCTTTGGTCTTTTTAGATATGTAGTGCTTTAATAATAAATAAAAAACAAGCTATACACAAGGAAGCTCAGAGGCTGTTTTTACTCAACTTTCAGGAAATGCAACTACTTATTTACCTAAACTGCTAAACCTCACCGAACTGTCAATAAACACTTCCCTCCTCTCTCAGAGCATTCACAGATCAGCTGAGGAAGATCTCCAGGGACGCAGGGATGCCCATCCAGGGCCAGCCTTGCTTCTGTAAATACGCCCAGGGAGCGGACAGCGTGGAGCCCATGTTCAGACACCTCAAGTACACTTACCAGGGCCTCCAGCTGGTGGTGGTCATCCTCCCGGGAAAGACTCCTGTCTACGGTGAGGGGTCCACTCATGCAGTCTGTTTTAGTGCTGCATGATTTGTATTACTGTATAAGAGATACGGTGAAATCCTGACTGGCAGCAACACCCATAATCAAAATACTAGCTCTTAAACAACTTGCTGCAAACTGAACGTCTTATTGATTTTAACAGATTTAGGTTTGTCCTCACTTATGGCTGCTAATTAGGATTATTTTAGATCATGATTCATCAGACTTATTTATCTAACTCAGATTGATGTAAAGTCACCGTTATTAGCAGTGATTGATCAGTATACATGCACACACCTTATGTGATGCACCAGAGCAGGAACAGAAAACATCTGTGTTTATAAGATCACGTTTAATTAAATTATATGTATTTATTGTAATGTGTGCAGCTGAGGTGAAGCGTGTCGGGGACACAGTTCTTGGCATGGCCACGCAGTGTGTGCAGGTGAAGAATGTTCAGAAGACGACGCCTCAGACCCTCTCCAACCTCTGTCTGAAGATCAACGTCAAGCTGGGCGGAGTCAATAACATCCTCCTCCCGCAGGGCAGGTTAGTGAAGATGCTACTGATTAAACCTAGAAATGATCTATGTATATATCTTCAGATCGTGGCACTCGTATGGTATGCATATTTTGAAAAGATACATTTTTCTTTTGTCTAAACTCTGCGTTCTTGCTCCAGGCCGTTGGTCTTCCAGCAGCCTGTCATCTTCCTTGGTGCAGATGTGACTCATCCTCCTGCAGGAGATGGGAAAAAGCCTTCTATTGCTGCTGTAAGTAACACTCAATAACTTGCAATCTACTTTTCATAAAATAGTTTATTGGGGTGTAATGCAAGCTCCAAAATCCCAGATAATCATGGAGCTCTTTCAACTCATTGTTTAATGACAGAAAATGTATGTTATGGCAGAGCCTGGGCTGCTCCTTTCACGTGATACTAACATATATTTCCTATACAGGTGGTTGGTAGTATGGATGCCCATCCCAGCAGATACTGTGCCACAGTGCGGGTGCAGCAGCACCGCCAGGACATCATCCAGGACCTGGCCACCATGGTGAGGGAGCTGCTCATCCAATTCTACAAGTCCACCCGCTTCAAGCCCACCAGAATCATCTACTACCGCGACGGCATCTCTGAAGGCCAGTTCAACCAGGTGATACACATATCAGGGCTGATGCACAGAAAACTGTGAAATATCAGAAGATATAGACCAATCGCAGAGCTAAGTGTAACGGTAATTCTTGTGTTTTGGTCAGTGTAAATCTAGTACATTTAGTTAGGTACATTCAAACATCATCTATGCAGCTTTTCATCTGATAATCTTGAATACCTCTTGAGTCGCAGGTCCTTCAGCATGAGCTGCTGGCGATCCGGGAGGCTTGCATCAAACTGGAGAAGGACTACCAGCCGGGCATCACCTTTGTGGTCGTGCAGAAGAGACATCACACGAGACTCTTCTGTATGGACAGAAACGAGAGGGTCAGTATTGAGTCATTGGTTGGAATAGGAATTTTGTCAGATTTGTAACGAACTTAATTTACACAAAAGAGAAAGCATACAAGTTTGAGACTAAAGTTATGCAATATGTTGGTACTTAGTTACGGCTACCTTCTAAAAGTGAACCAGCAGTGGAAACATATGTTTGCCATGCACAGTTGGCACAAAGCCAGCTGCCACAGGTGTTAGTGTACTCTCTCACGCGATGCTCCTATATTGGGGACAGTGGGTAATCCTTAGCCATTTAGTGGCACGAGCACGGCATTAGCAGTTAAAGCCCTACTTGGAAATGCCATGTCCATATTTCAATATGGATGTTCCATATTTTTAAAGTGTGCATGGATCACAATTTTATGCAGTGTCTTTTATTTCCTACAAAATTAAGTTTATTTTCCAAACATGTAGGGAAACCCTCCTCACTCACTAAAGCATATCTGTGTGGATTTTTGCAGGTTGGGAAGAGTGGCAACATTCCTGCAGGCACCACAGTGGACACCAAAATCACTCACCCATCAGAGTTTGACTTCTACCTTTGCAGTCACGCTGGCATTCAGGTAAGAGCTGTAACTGAACAAAGATGTGCCTGTGAAGTATTCTATGGAAAGGTATAACATTTTGAGGGGCAATTTAAATTGATTATGCATGAACGCCTGTCGTCTGATCGCTGTTTGCAGGGTACCAGTAGGCCGTCTCATTACCACGTGCTCTGGGACGACAACCACTTCTCTGCAGATGAACTGCAGGTCCTGACCTATCAGCTTTGCCACACCTATGTGCGCTGCACCCGCTCAGTCTCCATCCCAGCACCAGCTTACTACGCCCATCTGGTGGCTTTCAGAGCTCGCTATCACTTGGTGGACAAAGAGCACGACAGGTGAGAGCAGCACTTTCTGTCCATTCATCCTGATAACTTATGTCTGTTTTGGACAATTTAGCTTTTGATAGCTTTATTCAAGAAAAAGGTGCAAAATGACATGTAATACAAAATGCAAAGGATCTTTTAGTGGCATTAACCTATGTATCTTAAATTAAAATGTTGACTGATCGATCACAAATATTCTCGGTGATTAACATGGTAACCGTTGACATCCCTATTTCTGTTAAATCTCTCCCAGATCAAAAGTTAATGAAAACCCTGAAAAAAATTGTTTATTCTTGTCCGTAATTTTTTTTTCTTCCTGTTCCAGTGCGGAGGGCAGTCATACATCGGGCCAGAGTAACGGGCGGGACCAACAGGCCTTGGCTAAGGCCGTGCAGATCCACCAGGACACGCTGCGCACCATGTACTTTGCCTGAGAGCAGACAGCCCCAGGTTGGCGTGGGTGAGACCCCACTGATGGAACACACTAGCCCTCGCTGTCTCACTGTCAGCTGTAGATACAGTGGCTTCACATAGTGATCCCTACCATACTGACCTGTCAGTGACCCACACGTCTACAATTGTACTTCAGCCCCGGACCCACCCAAATTAAGCCAGCGATTAGACTGTAAGATGCTAAAGCATCCCTCTTTCTTGGGGTTTGTGTTGAAAGGGGTTTTATTTTCATGTTGTGCATAAGTGTGTGTCTATTATTTGTGAAAATAAGTATGGAAGCAAAAGGACAAGTTTGTACACTGATAGAAAAAAACTACACTTTTTAGACCAATGGGCCGTATCATTTTACATTAGGTTATTTATCATTTGGAAGAAGCCGTTTACCCTCTTTCTCCTGCTTCTATAGTTTGTTAGGGTTTTGGTGCTTGAAGGGAGAAGGATCAAATTCATCAAAAGATAAATGGGAGGGGGGGGGAGGGGCTGGTAAATATGATATGCCTAAAGAGTTGCCCCTCTAAGAAACATTATTTATCAGCCAATCAAAGCAAAGTGCACTGACCAGACTGGGTTCTTCAATCAGGACAAAAGTACTTAATATATCGGGGGTTATGTGTGATTTTTCACATACGGCACTATGTGATGAGAAGTGCCATTCGAGACCACCTTTCTGTTGTCATTTCTGTGGGAACCTTGAAATATGACGCCCACATCTGCGGGGGTTTCAGTATTTTTCTTTGATGGACACAGATGACCAGTTAATGCCAAATCTGGTGACAATTCATTTACTACAACCCTTGGACCAACACTTTTCAGTTTATTCTAAGGGGTTCAGTGTTTAGATCCAACAATTAAAAACAGCAATTATATCTGCCTCTCTTCTTAGGCTAAACTGACGTCACAAGTAACACTAGTGTTCCCATGCCGACTGTTTTGGGACCGGTTCCCAAAAAGGATACCTTTCTGATGTAGCCTGAGCCGTGTTTGTAAAAGACACATGATTTAGAAATCAACGTAGAGGGGAACTTGATAAAATCCTTTTTTGTCTGTTTTTATAGTCTAACTTAATTTCAATCAGTTTTGTAATAATTATGCATGTAGCTGACTCATGTTTTAGACATTTAGGCATTTGTGATAAATGTATTTTTTTCTTTCCTTTTTACACATTAACCCTACTTGTATGTTTTATTGTATATAGCAGCAGGATAGTGTTTTCTGCAGTTTCTTTGTCAGGGCGGGATATTTGTGTGGCGTCTCGATATCCAGGCATTCGGTACATTGGTGTGAAAGCTGCATTATGTAGGAGTAAAACTGATTGGAATTCCCCTAAAAAATATCGTTTGCTCCATGAACTAAGAGCAGTTGTCGCACAAAAGCTTGGGTTTTATGCAAATGACTTTTTGTGAGTCTTTATATGATATGTTGGTAATAAGGTATATTTTGAATAAGCTTTCAGTTGAGGATGCTGAAAATATAGAGATTTTTTTTTTTAATTGCCCACGTAGTCTAAATTAACACTGTCTATTTGTATAAAGATAATAAATGTTCTCTTGCCTTCTAAGACTGTTACGGTCTTACTAATAATTCTATACAACATCCCATCTAAGTTTTACTACTAAGTTAAGCTCGCAGAGGTTCGCATAGTGTTGATTGGACGCGAGTAGTCTATATTTTCTAACTATGCATCATTTTTAACCAAGACATTTAGCAGTGGGCTGTCTCACATACATGTGTGTCGTTTATAGGGGTAGATAATCAGGGTTTTTTTTGTTGTCGTTTTTTAGCATGTTGCATTTAGTAGCGTTTCTTAGTGCTTATCAGCATCTTCATGCCTTTCTAACGGGATGAAGCATTTGTGGTCATTTGTAGATTTTATAGCCTAAAAACTTGTTGTATCCTTTGTAACACAAAGTCTTTCTTAGCCAAACAAGATTACAAACTTTTACATGATTTGATATTCAAAACACATGGAAGCACAAAAAGGACACCTTGGATTCAGGTGCTAGAAGTTTTCACTGTAAGACACCTTAAATCCTCACTGGACTGGTCAACAAGACTTTTTATCAACAAAAAAAAAAAGATACTTCATCATGTTGAGGATCTTTTCTCTCCCTTTGACGACGTCTCCGTTTTACCCTTTTTACTCATAACCTGTAAAACAACTCGAAATCCGACTGACTGTGTTTGTGGGGCATTCTGAAAATCATGTACTTACTGTTATGATGTCAATATTGTTCTTATCGGTGCTGGTCTCAACATGTACATTTGGATGCACTTTTGATAGCAGAACGTCGGTATGACTTCTATAGATGTATGTTCCTCAATGGAAGCAGGGGGCTCGGCCATATTGCGTGACACTGGTGTAATTGTATGGAAATGGCCGTGTGTTCTACCTCTTGTTACCTGTTTTAGTGTTATGGTAACATCACACTGCTGGCCATTTCTGTATAATTACCCCTGCTATCTATCTAATTGGCATTGTTTGAGTCTTGCATTGACAGTAGAGGTTTTAAACGCTTGGTGTGCATGGCGCTTTATCAGTTTATGTAGTAGGGTGACATTTTATTTCATATTTTACTCAAACTGATAATAGAGAATGTGTTCCTTTTACGGGCGTTGAGCTGTACGACCAAATTCTTGAAGTGTGTTTGTATTCACACACAGCTTTCCCTTTTTTATTTTTCCTTTTTTATTCTATGCACCTGGTAAATGAGACTTCTTTTTTTTTTTCACACCTTAATTTCCGACAAATGCAAAGCCCACATCAGCTTTGACCACTGCGTATTCTTGAGTTGGAGAAATTGTAAATGCGCCTGAGCGGTGCTGTTAGTCTGACTGTTAGAGTTGCTTGCAAACTAAAAACCAATAGAGGAAACCACACGCTTACATCCATGTGACAATAGGATTGTAAGCTATGGTATTCAGGAAAGCTTTCATTAGTTAAAAATCAAATGCCAACATGAATTGAACATTTCTTGTAATCTTGCATTCTGATTTATGGAGACAGAAGAAAGCCTTGGTGTTGGGTCTGTGAATGGAAATGTCAATGTCATTGTGTAGAAAGTTGGAAAGTGTCCCAAATGATAGAGTGCTGAAACTCTGAACATCAAGTAGTCTTTATAGGAGACGGCTTTGTACTCGTTGTTACTGCTTCTTTCCCGTTAGACATGACCTATACCAGCACCTTAAAATGACAGATCAGAACGGCATTGCTTTTTCCGAAGATTAAATTCAAACATTTGACAATGTTGTTTTTGTACTAAACAAGAATGGACTTTTGTAGCTGTTGCATCATTAAAGAGTGTTTATCAGGTGGCAGACTGGCAGCTGTTTTTTTATTTACAAAGGAGCAGTTTTCTAAAATACAAGAGGCGTATCCAACAGGCTTCAGAGCCTCAGTGTGCGCTCTTAAGAAAGCCAAGCCTGCTCATCAAGATGGATTCTACCTAGCTAACCAGCATTCAACATGTCGTCTTGGAGAAATATCCTAAAGCCTTTTTTAAATGTTAAAAAAAAAGCAGAGTGAAGCTTGTAGGTGCTTTGCCTTTGTACAGTGACGGGGAAGAAAGGTGCTTTTATGCAAAACAACATAACTGACAGGTGTTGAAAAGAGCCGACTAGCTACGGACCGAGGCTTGGATCCCAAAGTGCTGCGAGGATGACGAGTAGTTTGACACGTTCACAATGAATAGAAAAAATAAAGGCCTCTTTGTGTGTCAGACCCCAACATAAACTATACATATCAAGATTCTGAAGAGGCGTTTTACATACATCTGCTTGATCATGATGAGCTAAGTCAATAATATGTTTTGAACAAGCAAATGAACACAACAGCCTGGATGAATGTGGCACTGCTTTATGTTTAAAGGTGCCGAGGTTAATGCCCGGCTGGCAACCCTAATGACATCACTTCACCTCAGTTACACTGTTTTTGTGTCCAGGACAAAGCAGGTTGTAGAAGTGGCTGGTTTGTAAGATAAATTGCATATCATCAGTTAATATTAATCTTTTTTTATTTGTAAGTATGTTCAACTATAGGGCCGAACGGCTGAGGTGAAGTTCCTCCAATTGGAACGATCAGCCTGTTTGCTTTTGAATGGTCTTGGAATAAAATAATGCTCGACAACCTATAAATCTGTTTATTCCAAACTACGACCCTATGTATAGTAACGTCTCTCTCTGCCTCTCATCCGTCTCTTGTAGAGAAATTATTCCTGACATAAAGACACCTCTTGTAGAGTAGAACCTATTTTCTTAGCTCCAAATATTAACAATGAATGTACTTAGAGCCTGTGTGGTCTGTAATATCATAGAGGCTGTCCATCCAGTACATTTATACTCATGTTTGCCTCTTGTGTACAGCCTTTTTCGTTTGGGTGTTTCTCTCTTATTTATAGGATATAATAATAGCAGAAAGTATTATGTTCTTTCTTTTAATATTTCATTTATTAAGATATCGCCCACATCACAGCTGGTATCGTTCATCTTGTCACTGAGGAGGTATACAGGTCTACAGTTGCGATGTTTGCTACTGTAGTTTTAGCAGACAGCGTTTCTCTATTTCCGGCGTCACGCTTGTGTGAGTTGCTGTAACATAAGAGTTGTGTGTGTATATATGATGGTTGCTTTGATGTGTGATCTTGTTTGCTGTTAGTTTTCGGCTTCTGCTTTATCCCCTCGGTCTGATATTCCTTTCAAAATCCTCCCGAGATCAGCTCACTAACTCATCAGCGCAGGGCCACTTGTTGAGTGTTGCTTGTGTTCCTTACTTTTGCTAATTGTATGACACAGCCGTTTTTTATAAATTTTAAAAAGTACATTTGATCACATACATGGCATCGGCTGGCTTCAGCAAGCCTACTTTTCCTCTTGTTCCTTGACAGACAGTCATTATCATGCCAATGTCCACACCATTACCTGCAGCCATGTGACACTGGGGTGGGTCTTCGCAGTTAAACTTGACCTATATCATTGTTTTTATCTACACGTCTAAATTATTGAGCACACATTTTAAATGAGCTACTGGTAGACCTGAGAGAAGAAGCCACATGTCCACCGATCGCAGCTACGTTTCATTTTGGTGGTTTCGCTTGGTTTTTATTCCCATTACCAACTTAGCAGCTTTGTGTGGTTTACAAACATTATACCTGCTAAACATTATTAGCATCATCATTGTTAGCATATTAGCTGATGTTAGTATTCAGCCCTACAAACTGCAATGCTAAAGTTCAGCCTCAAAGAGCTACCAACATGCCTCCAGAGTCTTTTCCATGTTTCAGTAACATATTGAAAACAGATTTGCATCTGCATTAATTCTGATCAATGGGGTACAAATGATTTGATTACGGTTCACAGTGTGACATCGTGTCCTTATGTTGTAACTGTCAGGCATCAAGTCATGACAATCCATCGTCAGTGTGTGTATATAGGCATGTATGGACATTAACAAGTGACTTTATAGCCTCATAGACAACAAACTAAATGGGTTGGAGTAAGGATGGGAGCCATTGATCTCTAGCAGGTGTAAGCTAGCTAAAATGTGCGCTAGCTGCGACCGTTGGACCGCGTGTCTGTAGAGTAGAACTGTTACTGAGCTTCACCAAACCAATGCCATCCAGCTGACTTACATGTATCCAATGCAAGACTCATGGGTATTTTTGTATTTTCAAAGCATTTCTAGTCTTCAGAATGACTTGGCTTTTTATTTACCAACTTGAAAAAAAAAGAAACTACCTCAGAGCAGTGTCGGGTGCTAGCTAATATTAGCCCTCATTTATAATAATGGTAACAAAAATCAAAAAAATAGTTGTGACCAAACCAATACAAGCCAATATTGTGTGAGAGCACTGCTCTTTTCTTGAACCTTAATAAATGGAAAACCAAGTGATCGTGTTTGACTGGTTGGTTGCTTTAGTTGGTTACATTCTAGGGGACCACTTTTTTGTAATTGGGAGACTAATTGTTTCATGCAAGTCAAACTAAAAAAACTACCGAGCACAACCTGGGACTCGTGGGGAAGTAAAGTGAAATCATGACTGGAGCATAAAGTAATTACATCACTACGACAATGCGTCGGCCATATTGAGGAATGTTTGTAGTGGCGGTGTTATGGAAATATGTATGTACAGCAATAATGTTGGTGCGTGGGCTGTGGATTGTGGGTAATTAGTCTTTACAGCAGTCTGTCTTCTGAATGCAGGTCAAGGCAATGTTCAATGGACTGAGTTAGCAGGACAACACTTTGCAAATAGGTCATTTAATTTGTCTCAATATTAGGAACTAGCTTCTCCTGTTTTACCAGTGTTAAAATAATTAGGTTTCATACTGGATATAGCCACTCCACGTTATTAAATATCTACTTTTCCCTGCCGTGTTAACCCAGTACTGCAATAAAACCTGGATCCCTGTTTTTTTACTCTCTTCATTTCCGCTTCTCTTACAATATGCCAAACTCAACGCTGTTTTTATTAGGGTTATAAGATGTAGTTTTTGCATGCAACAATTCACAAAGGGAATATACACATACTTTACAATGTAGCAGAACATTGTAGGCTTCAGCGAAAGGTACAAGGAGGCTGTGCGGCCATTAACTGCAGATTTTTGTGATTCAGTCTAAAAACATTCGGTGTGTTTGTTCGTAATCGTTCTATGTGTGCCTTTTTGTCGGATCTCTCTCTTCTCCATCTGCCCCAACATTGGGTTTGTGAGTCCTTTTTTATAGGTTTGACAAAATCTGCTGCGTCACATATACAAAACAATTTTTAATTATCCTGCAACCTTGCGTGTAGATGCTGCATAGAACGATCAGTATTTGTGTGTATGCACTTTCAAAGCAGTCTCAAAAAGAAATGAGGTTGGGCGGAAAGTAAAAAAAGAAACTGACGAGGTATTTTATGCTATCAATAGGAATTATAAGGAATATGATTTTGAAGAGCTTTTCTAAAAAGGTTGATATATCTATATATATTCATGGAGTACCTCATAAGCCTGATATATGCTGCATTGACTTTTTTTCTGTAGTGTACTTCATATTGTCCAATAACATTTTAATTTGTTCCCCCTTTTGGGAGGTTTGAATGTCACGACAGGCTGTGCACACGCCGCAACCAGTAAATCTGATTCTCTTGAAACAAAAGAGTATGTTTGTGGCCAAATGATAACGTGTCATTTATGCAATTTCTACGCAAATCTCATAATCTCACTTGTAGCCACATCATATTTCTGTGTCTTTTTGTTTGTATGTGTAGCCAAAAAAAAATGGGGTTTAGTTGAGGAAAGCGCACACCAAGCGTCCTGCGAGGCTCTGTGGTTTGACACAACTGTTGACTCAGGTATTGTCGTGAAAAAGGGCTGAATCTGCTGACTGTGTCCCCGTCCCAAACCTCCCCCTTCTGCACCTTTGTCTTAAAAATAGCCTTAGATCTACACGTGAGGTTCCTATTTGGCCTTAAAAGTTGAACAAATTATGCACTACAAATTCACAGACTTGACAGAGAGCTCGATTCCCGTTCAGACACGTTTCTTGAAGAGTTTGCGTCGCGTCATTGTTATCTACCTCCTATGAATGTAGGGGCTGTCCTGGAGTTGTAGTGGAATGCAAAACTTTTCTCGCTCATTTAAGAAAGACAGAGGACAATCTGTAGTTTCTTTTAACAAATATAAAATGTATTGCCCTATTCATTCATACGTAGATTCCAGGACACTCCATTTTTCTTGTTTTTTCCCCTCATTGGCCATGTTCATTTTATACCTTTTTTATTCTCATTGTAAGCCATGACGGAGAAGCAAAGTGACCAAAGTCTCTTGGCGCAGGCAGCGCTGCACAGCTGTGTGAATTCAAACCTCCCTTCATTTGTGTTATTCTGAGCTCGTTTTGAGTTGTCTATTTTATTTGTTTCTATCTCTTTCTCCTCCCTTATTTAAACCACGACATGCCAAAACTGAATTTGCTGTCATTCCTGTTCTGGTTGGGGTCTTTATGTTGCTGATTTTAATTTGTTCACATCCACTGCTAAGCTCCTCGTTTCTTGTTGTTGTAAAAGGTGTAAGCTTTGATTTCTATTTTACATTTCCTTATTTTTGTTAACAATTTATGCTTACAGAACACAAGATATGCTGTAAACCCTGTTAGGACATAATGTGAATACGTATCACTTAATATAGTTCACTATTTGGCTTGACTGTAAGTTGCGTTAATTAATAAAAATGTTTTAAAAGTTTTCCTGATGTGGCTTGTCTGTTTAATCATTTGATATGTGTATGCTCAGATTGAATGATTGTATTATCATTGAAATGCACAATAAGCCTTTTTCACAGATTTGACTCATAGTAGGAATTCACAGGTGTTTCTCATCATACTAACGATGTGTCACAGTCAGCCAGTATGCACAAACCAAAAGCCTGAAACAGCTAAATTAAGCATAATTAACTCATTTAATTTTCCCATTTACTTTTTTTGACAAGACTAAATATAATATTCTTTGAGATTTTAAATGGCTGAATATTAACAAATACCAATGGAAAATTGCAAATTGCTGTTTTATAATTTATAGTCAAGTTGCACTTTTGACTCTCAAAACTACATTTTTACCAAACATTGTTAACCATTTTGCATGCACGGTACAATTGTCTGTCACCATTTATTTTTGTTAAAATTAAGAGATTTCACGTATGCTAATGTGTAGATTAAAGGCAGTGTCTCTAATTTGACAAGTAACATTTATCAGATTATATTACATGTTAGACGCTTTTATCCAAAGCTCAATACTGTTGGCAATCCCCACAGGAGCAATTTGGGGTGAAGTGTCTTGCCCAGGGACACAACGACATGCTGACTGAACCTGTGCTCCCCTGATCCGAACACCGACGCACAATTCCACTGCGCCACAGCCGCTCAGATAATCTCAAACCCCTTTTCTTGTATCAGAATTGCAATGGAGCAGATGTGATAGTTCTTAATTGTATTAAGCGCTGCATTACTTGATATTAGGATTAAAGCCATTAAGTCTTTTCACCCAAATTAAACTTGTTCTCACGTACCGTCTAGTTTTTGTAGCAATGCAGAAAGCTGTGGCTTTATTTAGTTAGCCTCTGACACAATGCCAATATAGTAGCCTCAGCCTTATTTCACAGACTCGTTAGCGTTATTAGTAACACCTGTGTTCATCCTACTGTGACAAGTCAAGATAATGCTGTGAAAAAAAGCCAACTGAGAGGAATCTATTTTCATTCAGCCTCAGGGTGGCTCCTACAGTAACATTATCTTCAATTATCCCCAAAATGTCAAGATTCTGTTTAAAATAATAGATTTATCATTTCATTTATATTAACTGTTAAGGCTGGATGTTATTGATTGCAACTGTTTTGATACCTTCATTAAAGATTCGACACCCCAAACATTAATAAGGTTAAATAGAAATACAGCAATATGTCAGCTATTCAAATCATACACACATGGAAATTGTGTGTTTTTGTGAAGTGTATTCAAGTGTTGTCATTAGCTTGATACAAATGTAAACCACCAGTTATAGTATGGCAAGGATTATTTAAATGTCATTAAGGTCTGCCCATTTGACTAGTGTCAATTTTAAATGTTTTTCATTGCATGGCCTCAGATCTACTTCATAGTAAACAAGTCTCTTCACTCAGGTGTTTTTCCACAGCCCCTGAAAACTGCAGTCATTAAACCGCTCAGTAATGAACAATAAACAGGCCAATATCAAACCTGCCATTTCTAGGTAAAATCAAATAACTGTTTCGATGTGTTCCAGTCAGGCTTTCGACCAAACCACAGCACTGAGACTGCTCTTGTAAAGACAGTGGCAGAACTTCAGTGTTAGTATTATTAGATCTCAGTGCTGCGTTTGACACTGTTGACCACAACATATTACTAGACCGACTGGAAAACTGGGTGGGACTTTTGGCAACAGTTCTAAATTGGTTTGAATCCTACTTAAAGGACAGAAACAACTTTGTTTCCATAGGTAAATACACATCTTAGTTGACAAATATGACATGTGGGGTTCCTCAAGGCTCCATCTTGGGGCCTCTTCTCTTTAACATCTACATGCTACCACTGGCTCATATAATGAAAAACAACAAAATAAGTTACCATAGCTATGCGGATGACACCCAAATGTACATAACCGTTTCACCAGGAGACTATTCTCCAATTAAAACACTGAGTAAGTGCATTGAACAAATCAATGACTGGATGTGTCAGAACTTTCTCCAATTAAACAAAGATAAAACTGAGGTAATGGTTTTTGGAGCCAAGGCAGAACGTATAAAAGTTAGCGCTGAGCTTCAGTCTGCAATGTTCAAAACAGATAAAGACAGAAATCTAGGTGTAGTCATGGACTCTGACCTGAGTTTCAACAGTCACATTAAAACAGTTACTAAATCAGCCTATCACCTAAAGAATATATCGTGGATAAAAAGACTAATGTCACAGCAGGATTTGGAAAAACTTGTCCATGCTTTTATCTTCAGTAGACTCGACTAATGGTGTCTTCACAGGTCTCACTAAACAAATCTATTAGAAAGCTGCAGCTGATTCAGAACGCTGCTGCTCGAGTCCTCACTAACACTAAGAAAGTGGATCACATCACACCTGTTCTGAAGTCTGTACACTGGCTTCCTGTGTGTCAAATAATTGATTTCAAAATATTGCTGCTATATAAAAAATTAAAAAGAGGAATAGTTTTGGCGAAAACTAATAGGTACCATGGGGTCAGATTATAATTTTCCAAAGGGGGGTTCGTTCAGATGTGTGTATCTCACACTGCACTGTAATTCATGTATCTTTGCTTTTAAATTAGTGTTTTTAAATGCCATTTTATATCATTGCTTTTAAATGAGTGTTTTCAGATATAATTTCATAATATGTTTCTTAAATGCTATTAATGCCTTGCCTTGCCTTGTTCTGAAAACTAGAACTTGGGAACAATATTTTTGCCCTATAAAAAGATGGACAATAGTGCTAGTTTTACTCTTTTGTAGATGCTTTTACCATCTTGTCAAATGATAACCTATTAGTTGAATTACCAGTCACATTTAACAACAGTGCATTTCAAACTTTATTTGGAGTATGATCAGGACTTTGGCATACTGCAACACTTAGTTGTAGGACCATGAGGAGGGTTTCCACATTCACAGATATAAAACATTAACAAATTGGCTTATGACAGCAAAGATGACGGTCAATGACAATGTAGATGGTCCAACAGGCTGACAACAGGAGAATTTAAAACAAATCAATGAGTCAGGTGTGACAAAACATAACAATCTACATGTATAAATCACCATACTGATGAAAAACTAGTATATGAAAACACAACTAACAAAATTAATCGACAGACAGTTTGATCTTGCATCATGAAGTGTGAGGAGTTGTGCGTAAACAGGCCTCTTAACCTTCTTTCTTTCTGCCCAGTTGATCCTGTGGAGGACACTGACAGAAGAGTTAGGACCAGCTACATAAAAACACTAAAGGATTAAGTGGTTTGGACGTAAAAATAAAACGGTTACACAGGTCTCTCAGGCAGGGTAACGATGTGTGACAGGTTTCCTGGACAACGACTGCTTCCTTGTCTTCACACTGGAGCTCGGACGGTGATCATAAATCCTGGATGTCCTTGACGAATGAAACCAAGGGTAATGCCTACAAAATAACTTGACATGTAACTACAACAATAAATTAATGCAAAAATATGGCCCGAGTTAGTGCGTGACCAGATTTTTTTGTTTCATTCTCAATGAAATTCCACATTGAATAGAAAGATCTTTCATAAAAAGTTATAAAATAAATAAGCACTCTTTCCCTTTGAGTTTTGAGTAGAAAAAAAGTTGCACAGCGTGCAGGCCCAATAGGAGAAAGAGCAGTACATTTTTTTTAGTTATTATTTATGTTATTTTGCAGAGGTATCTGTGCCCTCTGCTGCTCTTCTTTGGCCTTGTGGTCACAGACATGCTGGGGGGGGGGGTCAGTGTGACCGTCCTCAGTACACCCAGTTCACCGGGACCCACTGGGGTTCACTGCACAGTTTGTCTACATCGGCCTGTAACGCCTCGAAGGCCTTGTCCAGGTTGTCGTTGGCGATGGTCAGGTCGAAGTAGTGGCTGTACGCCCTCTGGATCCGCGCGCTCTCATCCACCGTCTTCCTCAGGTCCACATCCTGCAACACAGCACAGGTCAGTGGTGGAAAGATCAGCGCTAACAACTCACTTTTATGATATTGTCGCTTCTTTTACATCAATTTGTAAATCGTCCATATTTTAGGGGGGGATTATTGTTTGGGAGACAGACAAACATCATTTAACAATGACTACAATGTTTTTCTGTCAGAAAATATAAATAAATTATAAGGAATTGTTACAAGGACCGGGTTATGTGATAGTCTCCAACACTGCATAGCGCTAAAACAAAGTATCAATTTTTTTTTATGATAACGTGCTTTACTCTAGTGTTCAAAGACCATGGCTGACACAGAAGCAAATGCTAGGACTTTGTCTGTGAATACGCTCTCACCTAAGCACACCCTAACCGGGGGTACGGGTGATTAAATGTATAAATCATGCTTTCACAGGGCTGTTTTTAGTTATTTAGGCTGGCTCAGTGTGGGTAAAGTAGTGATGATGTGCATGGGAGTTGTTAACCTACCGTGAGTTGCTTAGTGGTGATGCCTGCGTCCACCACAGCTTTGTGCATCGCCTTGAGAGTATCAAAATCTGGCGCTGCAATGAACACCACGTAAGGCATAAACTCCGCTGTTTTCAGTACCTTCAGAGCCTGGGGAGACACACAAAGTTCAAAAAGGAATTATATAACACGACAATATTTAGTTTTAAAGCTCACTGCAATGATAATGCTGCCAAATGTTCTCTCTGAAAGGACCCTCAACACTTTTTATCAAACCTCCTCTTACCTGTGGGTTGACGTCCAGGATGCAGGTGCGTCCCGTGCCCACCACCTCGTGGATGGACTCGATCTTGGTGCCGTACAGGTTCCCGTCGTACTCGCCATGCTCCAGGAACCGACCGGCTTTCACTTCCGCCTCCATCTCTGTCCTTGTGGTGAAGTGGTAAGAGTTGCCGTCCAGCTCATCGTCACGTGGCCGCCTTGAAGTGACTAAGAAAAAGCCCAGTTAAATGTAAAGATCAGTTAAAGATTTCTTTGTGTTACCAAATTAAGAGAAAGACCAAAGTCAGGACTTACATGG